ACAGTTTAGATCGTAGTCGGTAAGGCGCAGTTGATTGTGAGAATGAGTTTGATTTGAAATTGAACGGAAGAAATTTATTGTAGAGAAAATTAAAGTTTTTGGACATTGGCAGTTTTAGTCTTTAGAGTTCGGTTATGTCAGTAGTAAGTTCCGGCAGCTAAATTTTGAAAAAAAAAATTTGAAAAAAGGAAAAAATGTTGGTGGTCATAGTTTGTAATTAAAGGGCACTAATTAGTCGCAAGTTGAGTAGTTATCTTTACTTTGTAGCTACATGACCACTGTGTATACAAGTAATTAGTTTCCTTTAATTACATATTATGGGTTACAAACATTTTTTCTTTTTTATTCTAAGTTTTTTCAAAATTTAGCCTTTGGCACGTGCTACTTAAGTGAGCGAATTCTAGTAACAATTTACCAAAACCAGTCAATTAGACTAAATGTACTTAAAAATCGAAACATTTAGAACTAGATTTGCTGTTGATCAAATTTAAGGACTAAAACCATTGATGCTGCAATTATTTGGTACCAAAACTGCAATTTTTCTTAATTGTAGGACACAAGTTTTAAAATTTTAAAGAGTTTCAAATTTTTTTATATATTTTTTTTATATATTGTAAGATTAGTGTCTACATCTATTCCTACATTACACCATATGATTTAGACTAGTAATTTGATCTTTTAACAGATATATGAGATATCAGTATAGTAACGTTTTCTTAGAATGAAGTACTAATTTGTACATAGAAAAAAATATTAACAAAAATAAATCTAGTAATTAAACAAACCAGAAGTTTAAGTATTTGACATGAAAATAATGTTAATTGCTATTAGAAATTTTTCTCAGTTGGATGTAAATATTTCCATAAAAGCCTTGGAAAATGTATAAAATTAGTCATCAAAAAAAACTTTTATGTTTTAAATATGTAGAGTGGGTCATAGCTTAGGTTTTAAATACGTAGCACAGGTCCGAATCCACTAACTTAGAGTGTGTTTGATAAAACTGAAATATGACAAATCCACTAAAGTATTGAATTGTTAAATATTAAATCAAATACGTTTAAATGTATATCACATTCAGTGATAAGTGAATAACTTATCACTTATTTTTATGAGTAAGTTTTGCTTAGAAAATTTAGCGCCACTTAATTAATTCAGATGTTCAATTTTTTGTTATCAAACGCCTCTGAACATATTAAGATATGAAACCATTTAGTTTAAGTGTCAAATTGGGTTATCAAATGGGGTCTTAATCCAAGTTTGGCGCATTCTTCAATCATGCATAATCCATCAGCCCAAGCTTGGGCCATCCTTGAATTACCATATCCATGTCTATTGCCAGCAGGGGCGGATTTACACTAGGGCCATCAGGGTCACGGGCCCCCACTGTCCCCCTTAAATTTCTATAATATCCATAAAAATTTGATATAATTTCAAGTGTGCCCCCTGGAGTTTTGTGTATCTATTGGTTTATATGCTCCTAAAGTTGCCTTTGATTTTACCTGTTATTATAGCTACTGTAGAAAGGGTTTTTTTTAGTTATGAATATAGTGAAGAATCGGTTACGAAATAGAATGGAAGATACACTTGGATGAATGATTGTTCAGCTACTTATATTGAGAAAAATATACTTCGTAAAATTCAAAATGAAATGGTTGCAAATCGTTATCAAAATATGAAAACTCGTCATGAGCAATTGTAAATGGTTTAGTTTACTTTTTGAAATAAAATTATTATTACATTAATAATTTTGAGTTTGTCTTTTTATGTTTTTCATGGAATATATGCATCGTTTGTACTTGTTGGTGAATATTTTTTTCCTTAAAAAATTAGAAAAAGAGTAGGTAAAAAATTTAGAATTACTTTTACCCCCACTAAAAATTTTTTCTGGCTCCGCCACTGATTGACAGTGTCAATTCTCTATTTTTGGTAGTAGTATAAATGGTATAATAGTGAACTAGCTAGTAAGATTCCCCCCCCCCCCGGCGGACCAATTCTTGCATAATGTTCCACCCAAAAAAAAAAAAAAATTGTTGCATATAGCGTGGAAGATTCAAAGTTTCGTAGTATTTATGCTCTCTAGGGTTTTCTACGTAAATCTTGTGTTTTTACTTTGTGCTTCTAATTTGATCTCTGTCGCTCTTCTTTTATTGTGCTAGACTTCATATAGTGCGGGAGATTCAAAACTTTTTCTGGTTATTTTTCCGCATAAGGTTTTGCGTGTAAATAATGTGTTTCTAATCTGATTTGTCTCTCTTCTGAGGTAGGTTTATTAGAGTGTTTAGACTGATGAAATACTATTGTTTGTCATATTATTCATTTTTTTTCTAAGAAAATATTTTACCCAGCAAAAGTTTTGTATTGTTTTTGTTCAACGAAATGATGATTTACCTCTCAATAATAAAATCTCAGACAGCCCATGAAGTAAAGTTTTTTGGTCCATCATTTCATTGCTACTCCAATTCTTCCTTCATACTTCTTTCCTTTCCCATTAAAGTTATCGGATAATCTAAATGCCATCTGATTTTGCAATTCAAGATTTTATTTTATTTTTTTTGCCCTTTATAAACGTAACTAGCAAGAATCTCCTCTGCGATGCATGGCATTAAATCGGGGGCGGAGCCACCTTGGTGTGAGGGTGGGGAAAAATTACAAAATAGGCTTGAAAATTTTATAAAATTATAGTTTTCTCTCATAAGAAAATATCCTTATCTCTTAACATGGTCCCCCTATAATTTGGAAAATAGTCATCTCTAAAGAATCAATTTTTTTCTTTTAAGTATCTCTTCTACGGTCCAATTGTTTCAAAGCTATTAATTGAGATACACTTAATTACCATTTGATTGAGAAAAAATTATAGGACGTAGAATAAAAATCCCAAAAAAATCTTTATTTCATTTTCAGTGTACAATCTTGCCCTCACTGAGCCAAGGTCCTGGCTCTGCCACTGTATTCAATGACATTTAGTAGGCTTTTAAAGAAGGGTTAAAAATAAAAAAATCTCCTGTGGTATACCTAATACATAGAAAAACCCTCCGTTGTTTCAAAACATACAAAATGACACCTCATGTTTTGAACTAAATTGTAAACTAACAGAATTCATTAAACTTAATGAAAATGACGGTTTCGACTGTTAAACTTACCGGATTCCGTTAAATTTAACGTTAACTTTACCGGATTCCGTTAAGTTTAACGAATTTTGTTAGTTTAAAATTTAGTTCAAAACATGAAATGTCGTTTTATATATTTTTTATGTATTAGGTATACCACAGGGGTTTTTTCTGTTTTTAATCCTTTAAAGAAATACCATTGTCAATCCAAAAGACTGATAAGACTGATCTCAAACTCTGTGTGTGTGTGTCTATTATATATAGACACACAAATATTAACTTTGGTTGAGGTGATTTCTACTAATTTATTTAGCCACAAGTATTAAGTTTAGTTGCAATACAAGGACGCTCCGTTAGCAAGGTGAAGTCTGCAGCCTTTGGAAGCTTGGCAACAGTTGCAACTTGGTGGACTAACAAATGTACCATTGCAAGTCATGTATGCCACATCAAAGCAAATATGCTCACAAGCTTTGACTTTTATCATCTCCATTTCTTGAAGAACAAACATCCCTGCACATTCATGATTCAACCGGCTGTTATGAGATCATAATTAATTTAGTTAGTTAGAGCAACAAGTATTAACAGGTAGAAGTATTAGATGGGAATTCCTCTCCTGTTTGTTGATTGGACCATGGAAATGGATATAGATACCCAAACAGAATTTAATGGTACGTACTTGATTGGCCAATCCTTCAAGGAAACGCAAAGCCGGAGCCAAATGACCAAAACTAATTATAACTCCGGTCAATTCATGGTCCAATTTTAACGAAGAATAGGGAATTCTACGTTTTTTTTTTTTGTTGAAAAGAATATCTTAACACATATTGATATACTTTTTATGAGGTTATTAAAATTGATTTTTTTTTAATTTTTTAATAAAAGGGGGGGAAAAAAGTAGACAAAGAAAGAAAACTAGCTTGTTTGGAAAACAGAAACTAAGCATACCACAGATGAGAAGAAGCAGTGCTACCATTTTGTTGAAAGCCATGAGTTCTTGCCTTTGCTTAATGTTAACCTAATGCTAACACGAAGTGAAGTAGCATTACTTATAGGCGATTAGTGGTTCTGTTCTAGGCAAATAATTCCCAGTAATTGCCTACACCAGACAGATGGTTAGGCTTACTTGGTCAATACAATAATGTTACTTAGGCTTACTTGGTCAATACAATAATGTTACTATCTGTTTGATGGTGATAATATTTCCCTGTCCAAGTTTGTCACGGGGGAGGAAAAAAAAAAAAAAAAAGAATCTGTTGCCGGCCATCGCCTTCCCAAATAAAATAGACAGTAGATTTCCTAAGACAGAGCAAATTGTGCGGGTATCTCTTTCTCTCTATTTTTTTTGGTTTTCTTTTGGTTGGGAGAAGGGGGTGGGGGGTGGGAATGGTGGGGTTAAAAAATTTGTGTATAAATAAATAAGTATATTTTTCTTTTTTTTAACAAGTACATTTTTGGAATTAACTTAGTAAAAAGTTATGCATGAACCCCCTCCTATATGGTTATTATACTAAAGAAAGTTAACTTTCTTCCTCATATTCTTCTAATGTTAATTTAGAGACAAATCAAGTAAAATTTCACTTAGAGCCATAAATGGTTTTTGATTTTCATTTGAAAACCACATCCAATGCGAAATGAGATTTTTTTTTTTTTTTTTTGGTCTTGGAGAATTGGTCAAAGTGGAAAGGTTGAAGTGAGAGATTGTGACCTTTATCTGTTGGGGTTGATTTTTGGAGTAAGTAGTGTCCAAGTGAAAGAGATTAGAATATTGATCTTATGAAGGCATATCTGAACATTATCAATGACGGCTATATTCCAAAGGTTCCATAATATTACTCTAGACAGTATTCAACAAATGACATACCTGAAATTGATGAAACCAAAAAAAAAAAAAAAAAAGAAGAAAGAGTCGATCGTTAAGTTCTTGAAACTTTTAGCACTGATCTCACACACTCTCTATCTCTTTCGCCCTCCTATTTAATTACATATTTTTGTCGAGAATTACAATTTTTTGAGCTATAATGAATAATTCCAGGTATTTATCACGAATTTGGTTATATATGGCAGATCGCTCTAGTAATAAAAGTTACTCTATTTGTATACCTTTATTTAGTGTATAAGATCAGTGATTGAATATGACTCAACTGTCTCTTGAATCACTGATATCCTACATGGATATCTTAAACCCTGGTGGAAGCTGAAATTATATTGTACCAGTCTAGCATGATATTAGCAGTCTAGCGTACAAACTCCAATCATGGAATTGATTTAGCCGCAATATTGTGAAGTTCCGTCAGCAAGATGAAGAGTGCAGCCCTTTGGGGCCAAGCAACAATTGATGCAGCTGGGGTACTGCTTCGTTCCCGAGTTACCGCAGGTCATGTACTCAACATGTAAGCAATATAGTGGGCAGGCCTCAACCTCCACATTTGCTCCCAGAAGAATCATTCCTGTTTCCCATAACCAAATCACATTATTTATATATATCATCCTTGTAATAGATGAAAAATGCTGGAACTTGTTTAGATGGGATGAATACACCTTTTTTTTTTTTTTTACATTGCCCCCACAGTTTAATTAACTCGTATGTAAAAGAATAGAATTGTACATACCGCACAAAAGAATAGCCATTACACCATTCATCCTGTTGATTGCCATGATTCCTTGTCTTCCAAAACCTTGCTTTGATTTGAAACTGCTTAGGCTTATGCCCATGTATTTATAGGGACTGAAGAAGAGTAAGCAGTGAGAGTCGTGCCTGAATTGCTATTAGGTGCTATTTTTTCTTAAGCCACGTTTGTTGACTAGACTAACTTTTTTCTACTTTGGCAACTGCACTCAATTTGTTGAAGTCAATAGTATCAGTTATTCATAATGCAACGTAGTTTGGTTCTCCCTTCTCTCTGGAATAGGACAGATAGATGTTATTGATTGACAAACTCCCTTCTCTATAGAATAGGATAGATAGATGTTATTGATTGACCAAAAAAAAAAAAAAAAAAACATTTTGATGGATGTAACGTTGTATTGTGCTGCCCAACTGTGCTTGTTACCCCCTTCCATGCTATGGCAAGTCTTCGTATATTTGCCATACCTAAAGACAACTAAGAAAGCCACATTAGTAAAAATATAATCTACAAATCTACAAAAAAGCAAGTTAGAACATAATTGGATTTATGGCTATACAAAATCTTAAAACTGTTCTATATTTGATCTAAGACAAACTAATTGAGGAAGTTTATTGGGGGAAGGATGGGTTGGGTAGTATGAAAAGAAAAAGTGTAAGTGAGAGATTTTGGATTTGAGACCCTCACTTACTTTAAAAAAATAAAAAGAGCTAGTAAAAAAAAAGAGGGAGTTTATTAAAACCATTGAATCTGGGACAATTATAAGTTGGTGCAAATCTTCTAAAGCAGAATATTCTACTTAAAATCGTAGAATTTGATGCTATCAATTTTGTACGATAGCAGCTTAGGATAGTAAGATATGCTACCGTTCGATTTTGGAATCCTAATTAACGAACCAAGAATCAAACTGTAACTACAATTTTCTAGAAAACCGAATTTTTTTTTCCTTAGTGGGTGTTCAAATTATAAGGCTAATGCTCAATTGCTTGCTTGAAGCTACAGCCTATGTTTCTTCAAAAACAAAATCATGAAATATCAAAATTTAAAGTCTAAACCATACCTTAGTCATCTAGTCAGGTTAGTAGAAAATAACTATATATATCTTGGCATCACCGAAAAGGGAAAAAAAAGGTATAAGAAACAAAGTCATAATTGCTTCTACTTTATATTTTTTCCCAACAAATTTTGAAGAGGAAACAAATGAAATCTTTTTTCAGGATTAATAAAGAACAATAATGAGATAGGAAAAAACAAAGGCAAAAACAAAGTTCATATTTTAAAGAAAAAAATACCCCAAACGCTTGAACGCCCAATGCTTTAAACACTCAGCATACACTCCCTAGTATGAGGTGAACACCTAACAATACTTATGCCCCATTCAATTGCCCTAGGTGATTTGAGGCTTGCTCGACCCCAAGACTTGCCTGGAATTCACCTTTGAAAACACTGTTTCAATGAGAAGGTTTTTACTGATTTCTTGTCATCCTTAGTATATTGGTTAAAACCGTGTTCTTGGGCAAACAGTTTTGTGATTGTTATTGACAAGTGTGGGGTATGCATATAAAAATTAAACTCATTTAACAATCAAGTTTTATATTTATAAATTTTTAAATACCTCACATGCGATTTTTTGCAAGTGTACAAATTGAGATTGAATATAGGGTATTAAGGGTCGAATCCAAAAGAAAAATTGTCCAATTACCGATGGTTTTTTAAACTCCTTTACTATTTAAACTATCACAAATGCAAGAGAATAAACCTACACTATAAACGTCAAATAAAAGTAATAAAAATAACAATAGAAATCTCCTAGAGGTGTGAAATTCCTTTCTACTCTTGCAAATGAAATTATCGGTTAAGTGAATGTTATTATCTTGGTTAGTTATGGCGTAATTTCCTAATGTATTGATAGAGTGCATTTAGATGGTATATTTGTCTATATTTTTCCTTTTTATTTATACCAAATATCGCTTTACTTGGTTGATTTTACTCAAAATTGGTATTTGGTGTTTCTTTCAGGGATTGGAATGGAAAGTGCTTAAAATTAGGAATTTCTAGTGATTTGCACATGGGCTAGAAGATTGGGAAAAAGTTTAGGCAGTTTCCTAGTTCAAATCAAATTCCAAAACAATTGACTGCGGATGGAGATTTCCTACCTTTTGGGCAGTTCACGTCATCCTCAAGAAAAAGGAGAGGTTGAAGAAGTTGACTTGTAATAGGAAACCATCCCTTGAGATTAGTTAATTTATTTCTAGAAAATAGGGATTGAGGGGACATCTTTCTTCTTCTTTCACGGGAGGCAAAAAGAGCATTGTACTTGGTCTTGACTTTTTTGTTCCTTTGGCCGACTTTTGGAGAAACAAGAGGACAATTGCTTTTGTTTTTATTTTTTCTTTTTCTTGACCGATTTTGGGAGACAACAATTGTAAGCTTCGAATAGCTTTTCCGCATCGCATGGCTTGTTCTCGATCAATGGAGAACTAACTTCTTATTTCTAGCCAAGGGGACAACTGAAGATTTGGTTTAACAATAACTGTGAGATCTAAATTATTTTAATTGCTTCCTTCATTTATTGGTATTTGTATATTTTCTGTTTTCAATGGTTATAACTATTGTGTATGATTGAATAGTTACGCAATATTTAATTATTCACATAATCTATTAGCTAATTGGGAGTAGTTGAATCCGTAATTGTTCTATTGCTCTCATCCCAGTAGCAACTGGCATAATTGGATTTATGTCAGGGAAACGTACAATCTAATTTAAATAAACTCTCGTAGCGTGTTTATTGATTAGAGTAGCATTTCTCCAGTTTCTAATGCAATTGAAAAATTAAATCCTACGGTCGTACCTAGGGTTATTTCTAAATTAGGAAAATAATCAATGGTCGTACCTTGACTATCGAAATAGTAAGGAGAGACTGACTGCCAGATCGTATCGGCAGTTAAAAACTTGCTTATTAATGAATGTTGGGATTATATTTGAATAAATGATCAGTTGCATGAACCATCTCTAAAGTGTAACCCTGGCTAGAGTTTTCCCAATTATTTCTCTCAATTAATTAATTTTCGCAATTAGTTTATTTAATTAACAATTCATTAGCATTTAATTCTCAAACCCCCCATTTGTCTTGACTTAAAAAGAAACGAACTTTCCCCCAGTCCCTGAGAAGACGACCCTACTTGTCACTGTCTACTAGTTAGTAAATTTTGTCAGTTGATTAATTCTAGTATATCGAATTAAGCAAACTCTTCGGAATTAGGGTGAATCAAGTAGCCTATTGCACATCCAGAGTCCCTACTCCAATATCTGGAATTGATTGTTAACTAATTTTGGCAGTAGTTAGGTTTTTATTATTGTACAGACTCGACACTTGTCGATTTTTTGTGCCGTTGCCGGGAACTGGTGCTTGAATTATTTTTTTATTTTTGAATTCATTTTATTTTTGACATTTTTGCTTGTTTATGCCTCGTTCTTCTCGCACAGGTAAATTCATATACGACCCTGAAGTTGAGAAGGCAGCGTGTAGGCGAAGACAAGAGACCAAGAAATGCAAAGAGACAGTCATCTACTGCAAACGATTCTGAAGAAGACGAATTTAGCATGGCCAACAACTAAACACTAAGGGAGTTGGCTGCCCCGAAATTGACCCACCAGCATTTGTGCATTACATTCCCAACTCTGGCTGAAAATACTTCATTCGAGCTAAAATCAGGGTTAATTCACCTCTTACCCTCGTTCCATGGCCTTTCTAATGAGGAACCCCATGAATACATCCAGGAGTTTGAAGTGGTATGTTCTAGTATTAAAACCTCTTGTGGTTACTGAAGAGCAAATTAAACTTAGAGCATTCTCTTTCTCTCTTAAGGATGCAGCGAAAGATTGGCTATACTACCTGCCCGCAGGTAGTATCACGACATGGGCACAGTTGAAAAGAAATTTTTAGAAAAATTCTTTCCTGCATCCCGGGCTATAAGTCTGAGGAAAGAGATATTCAGCATCAAGCAATACCTCGAGAAGTCTTTATATGATTATTGGGAAAGATTCAATAAGTTGTGCATTAGATGCCCGCAGTATCAAATTAGTGAACAACTATTGATCCGGTATTTCTATGAGGGGCTGCAGTCATCTGACAGAAGTATTATCGACGCTGCGAGTGGAGGAGCACTAGTAGATAAGATACCGAGAGAAGCATGTGAGCTTATTGAAGTAATGACAGAAAATTCTCAACAATTTGGATTCCGTGAGAGTAACCTACCCGTAGGGTCAACGAGGTGGAGACGTCGTCATCCATTCAGCAACAGCTGTCGGAGTTGACATCTTTTGTTCTGCAACTAGCCGTGGGGAATGTGCAGCGAGCGAGGGTCTGTGAAATTTGTACAAATGTGGACCACACCACAGACGCATGTCCCATTTTACAAGAAGATGGAACTGAACAAATAAATATAGCTGGAGGCGTGCCTGCACCCCGTAGGCAGTATGACCCGTACTTAAGCACGTACAATCTTGGTTGGAGAGACCATCCCAACTTCAACTACGGGAACAAGCCGCAGAATTCATTTGTGAATCGTCCTCCAGGATTTCATCAACTATGGCAAGCAAAGCCTCAGCCTTCGTCTGCAGATTCAGGAGACTCTTTGGAAGACATTGTCAAGACCCTGGCCACAAGTACTACTCAATTTAAAAAAAAAAACTAGATCAGGCATGTTGGAAACTAGATCGCACATGAAAAATCTGGAGACTCAAATAAGTCACATGGCAGCTGCAATCAATCGCCTGGAGTCTCACGTTTTTGAAAAATTGTCATAGCAACCCGAGGCAAATCTCAAGAATATAAGTGCCATGACATTGAGAAGTGGCAAGGAAGTGGAGGGGTCTAAGTTAACGAATCCAAAAAGCAAAAGCGAGGAGAAGATAGAAAAGGAGATTGAAGAAGAAGGACGCATTTGCGAAGGCCCTAAAGTAACATTTACTCCTCCAATTCCTATTAAATCTAATCTAACTCCTTTTCCTTGCAGGTTGGAAAAGACAAAAAAGGCAGAGAAGGAAAAAGAGATCCTGGAC